GGGGTACAAAATCCTGTACGTGCAGCATAATTCTATATGTTGTGATCTGGACGAAACTATAAATAACTATATCTTGGAATCTTACAGTTTAGTTAAGACATTCAAATTTCTTAAATTAATCTGTAACTTGGAATCTGTGTTTAGTATAGGAGTGAGACCTGTACATATTTAATCCAGGAGAAAACACTGTAATTCAGCCTTTGCAATTAAGAATAAAAGAAATGGATCTGGTCGTGCCATGAATGCAAGTGAATTCCCTAACCATGTAAATTCTCAGTGGGTTCTGTGCTTGTTAATTGTGCATCAGTATCGATTTTCTCTTTTCATTTCTCAGACAAAAGTTTCTAGTTTTGTGATGCTGTTTTATTTACAAATTGGTATCAGAAAAAGGAATACGATGTCAACGAAGAGTCTCAGGAATTTCTGCCATCAACAATTTCAGTTTATGCCTTCTCAAGATGAGGGCTATTTAGGCCCTCTTTGAGCCATATTCTTTAAAAAATATACGTTCTTAAATAGTGATTTAACATCATTTTAACAATACATTTTTCAATAAAATAATATTACATGTAAATCCAAAAGTTTTCCTTAGTTTTTAACAACGTATTTCCCATCAACACACTATTCAAAAATGTATTTTTATGAAAATAATATGGCTTAATATCATCTGGTTCTTGATAAACTGTCTAGAAGTATGTCAGAGAAGGAAAAGAAAGATCTAATAAGTAACTTGCATAGCATGGTCCACCTTGTCACTTGGAGACGAAGTTCCCAGGGTAGTTTTAGATGAAACTATTGCTGTAGATATCTTGCTTAAACTTGGAGCTACCAGGAAAACACATTACGATTGTCAAAAAGAAGAGGGCTACCTTAAAAAGATTGTATCGACTCTTGAGAGGAAAAAGAGAGAGAGGAGTGATTCTGGAGATGCAGAGCAGTGGCATCAGACTGATATGAAAGTGATGATGGTTTATCCGTCTCTATTCAAAACAATTGTAAGGACTGGATATTAGATTCTGGGTGTTCTTTACACTTGCCTAGACAACTGGATGAATGGTTCGAGACATTTATGTCGTAGAATGCCTACAGAAGGAGTAATTCAGATAGTTGTGCTTATTTGGAAAGGCTCACTGATGCTTAATTCAACCATTTACTTCTATATGATGATGACATGCTTATAGCATATAAGGATGGACAATAGCAATAACGTTTTGCATATTCATGTTGAAGAATGGCTATCAGAGGAGCAATTTTGATAATTGTGTTTGCTTTAAAAGCTGATGCTTGTTTCATCCATCTGTTTCTATATGTTAATCATACGCTTATAGCATGTAAGATAAACATGCGAGGATAAAGGATCTGAAGTAATGATGAGCTCCAAGTTTGAAATGAAGGACTTCAGGGACACCGCAAAGATCCTTGTGTTGGAGATTTACAGAAAAAGGATAGCAGATTTTCTATATTGGTCATAAAAAGGATATGTGAAGAAAATTTTAGATCAGTTCAACGGCTGAAGCTAAGAGAGTTAGAACCCCTTTGGCAACACATTTTTAAAGCAACTCAATCACCCAGCACTGAAGAAACAGAGGTATATACGATATCATGTTACTCTAGTACCATAAATTTTTGATGCACGGTTTGCACGGGACCAGGCATAGCACATTCAGCAAATTATGTGAGTAGACAGGAAAAAGCCATTGGCAGGCAGTTAAATGGAGACTTCAGTATTTGAACAAACACGAAAAGCTAGTTTAGTGTATGGTCAAGCACAGGACATTAATAGATATATTATATTATGCATATTCCAATTTTGCAGGGAATTTAGGAGATTTAGACAAAAGAAGATTATTGGCTGGATACAATATTGCTCAGCTGGGAATGTTGTAAGCTGAAAAGTTAATCTTACAAAAGCAATAAAAGAAGCCATTGGGTCAGGAAAATGCTGTGTGTACACAATGGTATACACACAGCATTACACCCCCCTCACATAGAGGGGCCTACACACAATAAAATATTCATGAGCCCCCCTCCATGTGAGAGGGGTGTAATGCATTGTATACACCATGAGGTGTACACATAGCATTTTCCATTGGGTCAAGGGACTGGTAACTGAATTGGAAGATCAAAAAGTAAATGGCAGAGTCAGGCACAGCTCGAATTTGGTAAATGTCATAACATTGAACAGCCCCATTGATGGGGAAGTGACTAACGGACCATCATTTGGGATTTGTGATTCAAAGGTGGAGATTTGTTATGAATTGGATCATAATTATAACACAGAATATTTGGAAAAATTTACAGTTAAGTGGAGACGTGAAGTTAGTTAAGACAGACTAACTCAGATTTGTTTATGAATAGAAGAGCGAGACCCGGGTGTATTTACTCTCAGAGAAAATTCTGTATTTCAGCCTCAAGTTCAGAATAAAAGAATAAATCTGATCCTACCATGGATGTAGGGCAATTTCTGAACCATGAACAATTCTTATTGTGTTCTTTGCTTCTTAGCCGTCTCTTGGTTTAATTCTTTCTTTAATTACTTACGAAAAATTTTGGCTTTGTTTACTGTTTTTCTTATTTTATCGATCCATTTGGTTGTTCTATCACATTTATATCCAGTAACAGAAGAGTTTACCTGATCCCCAGTTCCCTTCAAGACTCTCAGTTGGACTACTTGAAGCACCTGATATGAACACAGAAGAATTACCATCTTTCCGTTTTGTGAGCTTGTCATCGGGTTCATCTTCCAAAGGCTCGTAATTAACACCAGAGCCTTTTTCTCCACTAGTAATATGTATACCATCAACAGTACCAGAACTTTTGTTTAGAACTTCAGAATCTGAAGGTGGAGCTTCTGGTTCTTCAGTAATTGAGACGGGTGAATTGTTGTCTAATGCTACAATATTGCCGTCGTGAATCAGTTCCACACCTGAATCTATTCCAACTGACTTTAATGTGCTAACTTTGTCACTTGTACATCCGTTATCAGTAGCAGAAGTTTCATTCAAGCATTCCTGACTGGAAGGCATGGATTCTTGCTCTATTGAAGCATGTTTATCTTTATGTTCGCTTATTTTTACAATATTTCTATCATGATTCAGTTCACCTTCCATTCCAGCTGCATCAACAGGTTCTGATTCTATAACACCATCATCTTTAGGTGCAGATGACTTGTCTGCATGAACGGATGTTGATTTTGATTCGACACATAACATTTCCTCAGAGTCCCCATTGCTCCTTTCATTTCCAACGGTGAGACCCTTGTCACTCTTACCTATGTCACAATTTTTAGCATTCTCGTCTCCATGCACATCAGTTTTTTGCTTGACTTCCTTACTAGTAGAAGAAACAATAGATAAGATACTAGAGTCATTAACTGGAGAATACTCAGAAAGAGCATTCTTTGCCGAGTCAACCGAATGAGACTGCAATCCTTGAGTACTGCAGTTTGATTGAATCTCTGCCCCAGAGGTAACTTTTTGGACTTCAAAACCAGAAGTTTCAACACTCACGCTTGTTGCAGTTAATGTGGATGTATCAGCTTCCACTTTAAGATTATCGTCCACAACATTGGAATCACTCAAAACTACAGAAGAGCTAGGCATGCTTCCAACAGGATTAACTGAATGGGATCTCAAACACTCCTCCACAATACTACCTTCATCAACAGCTTCTACGGGTCTTGTTATTTCAGCAGAGCTCAGGTCCAAAGGAAGCTTAGACTGAATATATTTATGATCTTTGAAATCTTCAATTATGACTTCATGAATATTTCCTCCTGGTAAATTTTCAAAATGCAGCTGTTCCTGCCCATTCTCTGACTTACATATCTCAATCAACTTGTGGTCACTTTCAACATTTATATCAGTGGCAGAATCAGCATCCCTTTTTACCTCAACAAAAGAATCCATGTTTTCAGTTCTTTCATTTTGAGTATAAACTTCATGCTTGACCACTTCAGTATCCAACTTATCACAAAGTTTTTCCTCTCTATCCACTACTATTACATTAAGATCTGAAGTTTTTCCTTCTTCAGAGTCTAAGGCCACAGAATCTGAGCTTTTCAGATATGACTCACCTTTTTCCCCTCTGGCATCTACAAACTCTCTAGCACTCACTCTCTCTTGCTGCATTTTTTTATCACCATCTTTATTTATATTATCAGTGATTATATTAGTCTGGCTCTCAGATTTGATAGTATCAGACTGTAGAGCATTAGCGAATCCAACAGAAACTGTTTCTGATGTAGTATCACTTGGTGTAATAATACTCTCCAACTGCTCCACCTCATATTCCAGCTTGCATGTTTGGCTGCTGCTTGTGGGGTCATTCAGTTGTTTAGTTGTCTCTGCACTCATGAAGAACACTAGTATGTTTAAGACAGCAGTAAGTTGGATATCCAGTTTGACAAGATGAAGAAGTCTTCAGGAAAATTGACAAAAGAGGAAAGAGCAAAACACAAAATTATATCTCAATTATGCCATATAACACATTTTCTTTCACAATCAGCAAATCTATCAACATGTATTTCAAGGTTTAAACTAACATGAAAAGTTGAGCCGCAACTATAGAGTGTTACAAATCTGTTTAAATTTCAAGTGCATTTATATGCATCATTCATATTACACAATGTCCTCATCCACTTCCTAGATGAAGTGATCGAAGGCCCGGTGCCCAAAAATATTCAATCATGCCATCAATGTTTTGCAATTTATAATCTCAATCAGTTGAATTGAAAGCAATGAGGAACAGCGAATAGTCATAGTTCAGAGAAAAACAAGAATGCACATAAATGTTCGTTCAAATGTATGTAAAACTAAAATTTATTGCTTCAATTGAGTCTCCTTGTTTCCTGAAATCCATTGCCTTCAGGTAATGGAATAACATAGCCTTTAAATGTGCCATAGGATATTGCTCTAGACTAAGACACGTCCCGAGAGGGACTCAAGTTCCTTCAAGATGTAGAGGAGTGCAAGTAAACTTGGATGCCAAATGAGAGAGATTTCCACATGCAGATTCATTTAATTTAAGCATCTAGTTTATATGATTGATATGCATGATGTCTAATTTCCTTTCTATAATCCTCTAGTAAATTTCCCATCATGCAAAAAAAATAAAAATACCAATAGGCTAGAAATTAAAATTATAATGCTAGTTATCGGTAGTTAATTTAAAAGTGGATGCTACGACCAAATAATCAAATGCTTACTCGCAGTTTCGTCAGACTTCAGTAATTGGTTCCTATTAAGATCATCCACCATAACTTTTTTCACACTCTTATCGGAAACACTCTCCAAATGCTCATCCAATCTGTGACTAACTCCACTATCTGAAAAGTCGGTGACTGCATCTGCAAACACTTCATATTCTGATCTGTTTGATTTTTCACCTCCTCCACCACTACTATCAAACTCCTTGATATTTTTCTTCTCAGCCTTGGGACCTTTACAAACAAATAGCTCATCAACAGAAATCCCAAAATTTTAATTTAAGAAAAAGAATCAAACAAATGCCCACAATCTAACAAATGCAGAATATAAATACAAAATCGAGAATTCTCACTGGGTGTTCGATGATCTTCATCGGAGGAATGCTCATCGTCTGAAACTGCCATAGAGGCATTTTCAGCTTCTGATTCGATTAGTTTATAGCCTTCAATTTTTCCACAAAACTTCTTGTGGGATCTTCTGTGTCTAGCACTTGGGTGTGGATTTGGAAATGGCCAACCACATCTGTGACATAGGTGAACCCCATGAATCTCATGCCCTTCAAGAACCAAAGGAAAAAAAATGGAAACCCATTAATTGGAAACAACAATTTGGGAATTCGAACAGACCCATAAAATAAAAATTATAAATTGAAAAGTCAAAAGTTCTTTAACACCACCATATACAAGAAATAAAGTAGTCACAAATAATTCATTTCCCTGTTTGTTTGTGCGTGAGTTCTGTGAGAGCATAGAATATAAAATGATTTTACTGCAATCACTTTACACAATCAATGGACTAAACAGAAGGATTTTATCATTTCATAAGTATATACATTTATTAAGGGATCAGTCAATGTGTTTCCTTGCGACTCTGCGTGTGAGAGAGAGAGAGAGGGAGAGAGGGGCAGATGAACAGACCAAGAAAAATCCTAGCAAGAAAAGCAAAACCCACTAAATATCTTCGAAGAAAAGACTGAAAAATCGCAGAAGTTCAGCAGATAATAATTCCAAAACTTAGTTTCTTGAAAAAAAACAAAGAGAAGGGAACCTGTAGAACCAGTGGAATTCTTGTGATCTTGACTATCCATATCGTACTGTTACACTGTTAGAGAGAGGACCAATAATGGAAGCTGAGAGAGAGAGAGAGAGGGGGAACGCGAAGACTTTTAGAACATTTGAAAGAGAAAGTAAGAAATGTGCAAAGACGGAGTGACTATGGAGGTGATAGCGGATAAACACTGTGCACCATGTGCGCATGTTATCAAGCATCCCGACTTTAACTATGCTGATAGGGTTGCCAACAAGTCAAGTCGAGTCGGTTTGAGAGCAAAAATTTGAGGTTTGGGCTCGACTTGAGTAAAATGATTGAGCTTATTTTGGGCCTGAATCGAGCCGATCAAAAGCTCAACCAAAAAAAAAAAAAAAACTTTTTTTCTTTTTTCGTATTATATATGATAAAGGCATCCCCTACTGCGTTTTCTTAAGTTGTTGCCCTTAAATTATTATTATTATTTTTTAAATATGGGCTCGTGAGTCTAAGCTGGCTCAGGCTTTGCTTGACACCCCAAAATGGGGCTCGATTTCGAACCTTGACTCGATTCTCTCGAGTCGAGGGGAGTTACGAGCAGCCTGAGCCGACAAGTGTGATTGCCATTCCTAACTATGCATGGCTGAGTATTATTGTCTACGGTAACGCGCAGGATAATGCTACTTAGGACAATGTTGGACTGCTTGTACCTTTCTGCAGACATATTATCTTAGCCCATGTTTGGTTATGATTAAAATTTGATTTTAATTTAAATTAAAGTCAAACAATCAACAATCATACTACTTGTACAATATATTTTATAACTTGGTTTACAATGCATGAGTTGACAAACATCACATTCATCTATTTGGAAAATTGTTTTTAAAATCAATGGCCAGGATTTTACAACCATGTTTGTTGTCAATCAAGTTGTGCAAGTACATTGTACAAGTGGTTTTATTCAACAATCAATATTAATCACATATTTCATGAGTCTCATAACATTTTAGCTACATATTTTAAAAATTTCTATCACAATCTACCAAAATATCTAATTTTAATACCTACCAGATATCTTTTTAAGAACAATACTACACGTACTAAATTTTTTATCGAATCTTTTACATACTATTCACAACAAGGGTGAGGACCACATGTTGGCATTTTCAAATTTACGCGGGATCCGCATGCATTGTGAGAGGGGGACACCACTCTGTATTTCCTATTCGATACATATGGAATAATACTTATTTTAAATTGGTTCAACATTTTTATTTATCTTTATTTTTTCATTTTGATGAAATTACATGTCTAGTCCTTAAAGTTTATAGGATCTTCACTACTCAACTGTCAATACCTATAAAGCAAAAATAATCATTCGTAATAATTGTAAGGACCGAGCTACTTATACCCCAATCGTTTACACACCCGATTACACGTGCCCGAGTACAAATAAAATTTCCCTAATTGTATAATATATATCAAGATTTTGAGGATTGATACCACCTCTTCTCATTCAAAAAAAAAAAAAAAAAAAAAAAAT